GATAAATAGATAAAACGATAGAACTGATTAAAATCGATAGATAAACAAGCAATAAAGAGAATAGTGTTTTAGGTTATGCTAATAAAATTAGATTTTCAAAAATATAGCACTTTATATAATGTTACTATTTTTATATTCTATTATTTCCGCTTCGTCTTTAATTCAACCACTTTCGTTAAAAACCTGGTAATATATAATTGTATATTTAGCAGTCGATAAATTTAACCAGTTTTAAGAAATAATCTTTATTTTTCAATTTTTCAAAGAAAAAATAATTCATTGTTTTTTTTATTTTTTTTTTAGACAACACTATTTTCTCGGATTGTTTTTTGTTTTAATTAAAAAAAAAAAAAAATTAATTAATTTTTTATCGTTTCTCTTTTTTTTTTTTTTTTCAGTTATAGCTAAGTTTTAGGCATTTTGGAAGATATCCCTCCATTTTGTTCTCTTCTTTTTTATCTTATCGTTTTCTTTTTCACAATTCTTTCTCATATTTTGTTTGGTTTGGTTTATTTTGTTGGGGGGCATATCAACCTTTAATTTTTATTTAATGCCGATAAGTTTTTTATTGCTTTTAATATTTTTTCAAAAATTTATTGCTGGTAATATTTTTTCATAAATGTATTTGCTGGTAATATTTTTGAAAAAATGTTTTGTTGATAACATTTTTATCAATAATGTATAAATGGTAATGTCTTTTTTGTTTCCAAAAATGTATTGCTGGTAAATTTTTTTATAAATGTATTGCTGGTAATATTTTTGAAAAATGTTTTATTGATAACATTTTATCAATAGTGTATAATGGTGATATTTTTTTTAATGAAAAATGTATTGCTGGTAATTTTTTTTCAAAAAGTATTCCTGCCAATAATTTTTTTAATTTGTAGGTTGGCTATTTATATTTTATTTATCAAAAATGTATTGTCTGATAATTTTTTTTCAAAACAATATTACCGCTAATATTTTCTTTTCCAAAAAATATACTGGTGGTAATGATTTCAAAAAAAAAGAATTGCTGGTATTGAAATTTAGTTTTATTCTATCATACTATTTGAAACATTTTAGGGGTTTATCTATTTGGTTTGACATATTTTAACACCCCAGGTGGGGGGGATAGTTGAACAAAGCAATTGAGAGGCACTTTCATACTTCTCAAAGCCTCTAATCAAAGGCCTTGTTTGTTGGACGTGGTTTATCATCTTACCCAGGACGCGGATGTCGTTTATCATCTTTCCCAGGACGCTATGCTTTCCTTACAGAAATGTGCAGCATGGCCCGGCGTTGCCCGTGCTTGACAAAAAATCGTACGACTCATACAGCAATCGCTATCTCTTTTTAAAATATTGTTGATCCCTTCCTTGCCTTTAAAGGCGTGCTGTTCAAATTGCCGTGCTGATGTTGCTACATGCATAACTTCATGCCTATCTCACAACTAATTTTTCATTAACTCTATACTAAACAATTAAATCTTTACGAAAAAACAATACTAAACAATTCGGCCATCAAAATGAACTAAACATTAATTATCGATCAGCTTTAAAAAAAACTCGTAGCTGGAAAAACCGAATGAAAAAAAATGTTAACAGCAAACTTTGCCTTCACACACAAACCCAGTTCTGCGGAATCAAAATCAACGTTGAGTTGACCTATTTGATCAGCCAATTGGGTAAAGTGCCGCAGATTTAAATTTTTTCCCATTTGTGACGAATGCTACTGATTTTTTGCATGCTAGTTAACATTCGTGTCAGTCATTTAAATTCACGCAACTAAAATAAATCTTCCTGCCTATTCGTGGCAGCCATAAATCCCAAAAATCACTCTGGCCAAAAAAAGAGGAACTGAACTGTTGAAAACTGCCGCAGAAGCCAGAAAAAATCGATTATATCCACTTATCGATGGAGTTGGGAAATGCAAGGTCAGTCCTGGCCTGGGTATAGGATTCTGAGCATGTGAATTAAATTTTTGCAAATCCGTCGAAAATTGCGGCCGTGCATTCTTTACACACACACACACACACACACACACACACACACACACACACATAATACAAATACCTGCCTTTTATTATGGAATTTATTTTATTTATTTTTTTTATTTTTTATTTTTTTTTTGAGAATTGCCGTTAATGTTCTACGAAAAGATAATCCAGTGACTTCAGCATTTTTGGCGACTTTGAAATTAGATTTTGTGCATCTTCGAAAAAAAAAAATCTACAAGTGTTGAAGCCCTTCGTAAGCTGTGAACTACATTGGTTTACAATAGCCTAACTGTCGAGAAAGATGAATTGATACCTCTTCACGGAGCCAGTCTACTGGAATCAGAGCAACAATCCCAGTCGCAATTTAAACACGGCTTGCTGATTACATATTTCCTTGGTTTTTCTACACATACCACACATATTTAGATGATAGATATGAATAAAAAGGATCACTTACAACAACATCCTATAAAGCCATATCTAAACACTAAAAAGTTCATCGTTTTTAAAGTTTAAGATCGTTTTAATAATAGATAGATAGATAGATAGATAGATTGATAGATAGATATGAGCAATGTTTCCACTTGTTTACGCACATACACATATCCATAACAAAAAGGAATTGAAACACGAAAACATTCTTTCGTTTTATGTTATAGATAGATAAGATATGAACAGACTGAGATAGATAGATGATAGATAGATACGAAGAGTCTATATTATTTATGCAAGAAGAGTCTATAATAGATAGATAGATAGACTTTAGATAGATGTGAAGAGTCTATAATAGATAGATAGATCTCATGATAGAGGAAAAATGAAAAAACAAAACATCTTGTTTACTGCACATACACATATCCAGATAACAAAAAAAAAACAAACACGAAAAACATTCCACCTTTTAACATTGGAAGATAAATAAGATATGAACAGATGAGATAGATAGATAGAAAGATAGAAATAAAGAGTCTATAATAGATAGATACAAATAATTTAATGAATAGATAGATAAGTGTAAAAAACTTTAAATAGATAATAGATAGATAAGGAGCAAAATTTTAAATAGATAAATAGAAAGAAAGATATATAAAATGAATTATTGTCGAAAGTTTCTTTGATACAAGCGCAACTTCACCCACATATAAGCAGACACACATAGGTAATTTTTTTTTATTTAAAAATTTTTTTAATTTAAAATATATAAAATTTGAAATGAGGCAAAAAAACGACATTATACGCTTTAAAAACAAAGGGAGTAAAAAGAGGATTATAATTTTAAACTGAAAAAAAAGAAAGGAAAATAAAGGAAGAAATTCATAAAAGACAGAAAATGGTGATGGACGTTAATTTATTTAATTTTTTGATTCACTGTATGTGAAAAAGATCATACAAAAACCGAAAAAAAGGGAGTTCAGGTTAGAAATTTAGAAAAAAAAAAAAAAAAACGTTCGGTTGAGGATTCAATTTTTCAACGTTATTCAAGGGTGAGACACCGTTAGTTGCCCAGAGGGCACTTTTATGCTTCCATCACAAGACAAAGGCAGGAAACTTTGGACAGGACATCAAGACTATTGGTGAAGAAATCAGAAAATTTAAAGACAGAAGGGCGTCAGACGACGTCGGTGGGGAGAAAAACTGATGTCGATAATTTGTCAGGATCGATTATTAACGAAAGAAAATTTCTCTGAAATTTGTCATGAATTTCGGGATAATTATAAACACTAGATTATAAACATACAGCAATGGTAATTTTTAAAAAGCGGAGTAATTATCTGTCAACAATACAAAATAAAACACCAGACCATCAAAAAAGCAATAAAAAAAAAGCAAAAAAAACACAGGTTGAAGTCTAACAAAAAAGACGTTGAACAAAATTTTAAAAGTTCATCCAATTAATTAGACTACTGTGCTCTTCAAAAGCCGGCCGGGTTCAGGATTCCATCATAGAAATACCTGTGGTCTTGACTGCGAGGCTAATAATGGAGAGACAAATCTCCAGTGACAAATTTTTGGAAACCAGCGTGCCACAAAAGCCTTAAGTACGTTCTTCCACAGCACTAGGAAAATAAACGCTTGAAATGCGGCGAAATTAAATTTATTTAAAAGATGAAATGTATTTGCAGTTAAAGCAAACAGCCACATGAAAGGAGATTCTAAGATTCCAACCTTCTTAAGCTGTCCGGCTTTATAACGGAAAAAAACTAAAGTGCGCATGTTCTTTATAAACATTGATGGAATAAAATGTTGTAATAATTTGAAAACAAGTACATGTATTTCGTATATAAACCGTAGGTTCATTCAGCAGAAATCAAAAACGGAAGAATTTTTTGCAATAATATTTGTTTATATATATGTTAATGTGTTTTTATATATATATATATATATATATATATATATATATTTATAAATATATGGCATTGTTAGAATGAATGAAAACAAAGACTATATATGGCGGTCAAAGAAGGAAACCACTAAAATAAATTGCAATAAAAAGAAGCACCAGACTATATATAATTTTTAAATCAGTCATATGAGAAAAAAAAGAAATAAACAGCCAAAACCGTTTTTTTCCCCAGACATTATATGGCAAAATTAGCATAAGAATATCCTTTACTAAAATTCAACAATAGAAAGAAGCACCTGTATGTGAATGATAATTGTAGAGTTTTTTCACAGTGGAGGCTTGTATTTTCAATAAGTCGTCCTAAATTAGGTTCGACGTACAAAACGTTAGGAACTTGAAATAAGAGTTAATGACGCAGCAATCTAGTTGTGATGGTTGATACTTCAATGTCTGATATCGACTGACTCGCTCAACACCTTCCCAACAACTGGTTACTACTACTACTACTTATTATACTTGTGGGAGAGTCTATTAATAATAGAATAGGTACGTTCAGGTATAACATCCCCCCCCTAAAACTTTACTCCGTAGGAGTAAAAAGTTTTTCTTTATTTATTTATTTTTTTTTTTGCAGAAAATATGAAGAAAAAAAAAAAAATTTTTTTTTTTTTTTAGCAACATCGTAGCGTATTTCCTACGTTTTTTGATCCACTTTTAAATGATCAGTTGCCTTTTTTTTTTCCTGGATCGGCGTACCTCAGGTAAAAATTATTTGCAGGGGTTGTTAGATCAAACTTATTGAAAATCACCTCCATCGGCGTTTTTTTTTTTTTTTTTTCGCGGGACCGCTGTCAACCACGTCTGAAAAAAACGTCGTCTGATCTGTTTACTGCACGTGAGTTTTTCCCCTTTCACCAAGTAAATCATATAGCCAATCCGCTTTTCTATTTTTTTTTTTTTTTTTATTTTTAGCTTATAAGGATTACCAGAAACAACCATCCTTTGATTTGTTTCTTAAAGATGGACTCTTAAGTTTCTGTAGGTTCTTGTTGACTTAAATCATTTAATAATACTGCATGTCCTTGGTTGCGGGTAACTCGTTCCCCAGTTTTTTCGGTGTCGGCTTCATTTTTACTTTCTGGAGTTTTTTCACGTATATTGTCGGTGTTACCCATTCAACTTTTTTAAATACACCGGTTTTTCTAATCTGTCCAATTCTTTATCTATCTGTTCAATTGAAGCAAACAGCACATTCCTTTTCTTTTTGAATACCGCCTGAGCGTTTTTTTTTGGTTGGAATTTTGCCTCCATCTTGGTACACGTTCCCAAACCTGGAGAAAAAACAGTAGGAAAAGTTCCTTAAGTTTTTTACTAATTTTTGGGCTTCATAGTTTAAATTTTTCAACCTTGTAACAGAAAGAATTTATTGGTAAATCCCATAATTGAAATTCTGTTATCCAATCCGTATCAAGTAAGTTCGTGGTATTTTCTATGACAAATAGTTTAGCTAGTCGCGTTTTTTTTTTTTATTTAACGTGACGTTTGTAACAAATTCTCCAATAAATTGTATTTTTTCTCCCGTCACTGACCTCGCGATTTTATTTGTTTTCATTAAAGTTGGTTTCCCCAACTTCTTCCACGTATTCAAATTTATGATAGATAGGTCGGAACCAGTGTCGAGGTGCATTTTTATTTTTTTATTACTTATTTCGACGGTAACAAATTTTCTGGTTATTCCGTCGTTCACTTCGTCGGACTTTAATTTTCTTATTTTATTGACCTGCAGTGCGAGCTTTTATGCTCCACTCTTTCACAGTTGAAACATTTTTTATTCCTAAAATTGCAATATCTGTACCAGTGAAGTTCACTGCAAGCAAAACATGGCTTCGGGAGTTTTTGTTTATTTTTCTCTGGTATTTCACTTTTTGTTTGATAATCCGCAATTTTAGAATTCTTTTTGGTAGACTGACTTTTTTTTTTTTATAGCGTATTTTCCTTACATGCGAAACGACAGACTGTTCTATCTTTTTCGAGTCTTTCTTTTACGCTAACATATCTTGTGCAGTCTTCTGCCAAACTCTGTACCGAAATCCTTGGTTCGTTTTCCAATTTTGAAAGTACCAATTTCCTCAATTCTGCGTCTCTTTCTGATACTAAACCCTGGACAAACATCAAGCACTTAAAATTGTCAGCGCTTAATTCTGCTAGTTTGAATTCTTCACAATGCTTGTTCACATTAGCTGCATATGTTTTAAAGTCTTGTTCATCATCTTTCATCAGATTCAAACATTTCCACCTCTTGTGAAACAAAGATGTCTTTTTACTAAATAATTCACTTAATATATTTACCGCCTCGGTAAAAGTCAACTTTTTTTTTTTTCGGTAAAATGTAGTTTACCAATTTGTTATGTTCAGCAGTTCTAACTTGCTTAAAAGAAGTCTAACCTTCTTTCCTTCAGACCACGTGTGGCAGTCCTCGTTATACACGTCCGTATATTTTTAAAATACTCTTCAAAAGTTATCTCTTCGTCTGGACTGTGCGTGAATATTTCAATCGAATTCCATATTGTATTCTCTGGGAAAGAATCATTTTGTAGATTTTTTCTCTTTCCTCTTCTCAGTTATTTCCAGAATTTTGTTTTGAAACTCCTTATGCATCAGTTCCATTTCTGGTTGAAATGGAATCTGTCTATTAAAGGTTTCCTCCTGAAGTTGTATCTGGAATGTTTTCTGCTGGTCCAATATTGTCTTTTGTTGTTCCGTCTGGAACTTTAAAAATTCCTGGAATATATTTTTGCATTCCTCCATCTTCGCAAAAAGTTTACACAATGCTTAAATATTGTAGAGGGGAGGTCCAAAACGAATTTGTAATTCGTGACCTATTTGAGCAAACTGTCTTATCGAGAAAAAAAAAATTCTTGTCTCAATTGAGAATACGACTGATTTTTTCGTCACTAAGTTGACGTCTTGTCTTTCGAAAAAACTTTTGCCAAGTTTTTTTTTTTTAAATGTGAATCCGAGATGTTGTCGCCGAAAATTTGACGAGCAAATTTTTTTTTTTTTTTTCCTCCGTATGAAAAACGAATTTCGTCACTAAATAACGTGGCGAATTTTTTTTTTTTTCACTGTATGAAACCGAACCCGTCGTACGCCACGTTTGTTATGGCACAAAATTTTTTTTTCACTTCTGTATGAGTTACGAATCCACGTTGACAAGTGCTGTAGAGTGAACGCAAAGTTTGTTTTTTTTCCCGTATGAATCAAAATACGTTTCGTCGCCAAGTGTTGTATATGGCGAAATTTTTTTTTTTCTTAAAAATTTTTTTCGTATGAATTTCGAATTCTGGTTGCCAAAGTTTTTATAAGTGATTCGAAAAGTTTTTTTTCCGTATGAATTACGAATTACTTGTCGCCAATGTGTTGTTAGGCGTACGAACAGTTTTTTTTTTCTTTCTCCGTCTGAGTTTCAAATCCTCGGTTGCCAATGTGTTGTAGAGTGAACGAAAATTTTTTCTTTTCCCGTGTGGGAAACGAATCCCTCGTCGCCAATGTTGTAGAGTAGTTTTTACAGTGGAGGCTTGTATTTCAATAAGTCGGTCCTGAGCTAGAAAGAGAACAGATTAAAATTGTTTTATGTCTTTCTCAATCTGTCTTCCCAACTGAGAAATGGTGAGAGGAAAAAGATCATTCAGACCTTCAGTAGTGGTACCAGCATTCACACTTTACTTCCATCTTCATAGTTCATTCAAGAACCACCAAGAAAATGTTGAATAAGTTTAAAAAAGAGGGAACAGTGAAGAGGAAAACTGGATCAGGAGGTCAAAATATTGCTCAAATAGAGTTCAGTAGTAATTTGAAATCCTCAGAGAATTACGGTAATATATCTTTAATCATTTCTAAGATACAAATATTTAAAGCTCATTCTAACAATTGGAAAATTTTGCTGTTCAACGATTTGAACAATTTTACTGCTCAATTTTGCTGCTCAATTTTGCTGCTTCAACAGGGAGGCCTACATCAAGCGCTTTGAGGTAGGAGTACTGCCTTGGGTTAAGAGGTTGGCTACAGGAAGACGATTTGTCTGGTAACAGTTTTATTCAATTTGTTTTGGTTTTTACTAAAATACAGTTTGTTTATTTTTACCAAAATAAAATAATTTCCATGCCTGAAGATGACTGAATGTACAGTTGAATGTACTTGCGTATTAAAAATTATAAACTCTCACAATAGCAAGATCATTAGGGAATTTCAAACTAACCAATTGCAAAACGAAACATCGACCTGTAATTACAGAGCAAGATCTGATTGTCCAGTAGGAGGAATCTGCATGAAAAAAGGTGGTTCCTGAAGCCATAATTACTCCAAAGGAAAATGTAAATCAAAAATATATATATAGGAATATCTGCGGGAAATTGAAACATCGTTTTTTACACCATCGCCATACTTTCACAAATGAATCCCAAAGACACCAAACAGCATTATCGAAACACTGTTGGGATATAGTGGGAAACAGCTTCATCCAACAAGTGAAATGGAAAATCATCTGTAGGGCTCGAACTCCAAGAAATTTCAGAGAGCGATGTGACCTATGTATTAAACAAAAGATTCTAATAATAAAGTATAAAAGATCCTGATGTGTTACTAAACAAACGCAGTGAGATGATCTTTAAATGCAGACACAAAAATCATCTCAATATAATTCACTACAAAAAAAAAATAAAAAATAACTATCAGTTATAATATAATATATATGCAGTTGTACATGGGCATAGGTAAATTAATATACATTCTTACCTTTAGGCTATGATTTATATGTTCCCATATGATATTTGCAGATGTATACTTGGTATATATATATATATATATATATATATATATATGTGTGTGTGTGTGTGTGTGTGTGTGTGTGTGTGTGTGTGTGTGGATATTTCTATACGATGGTAAATATTGGCGTGTGTTTAGATGTGAGGATGCTTGTATGCACACAGGTGCGGGTACATATTTGTATGTATAAAATGTGTATATGGGATTGTATATGGATATGTGGATATATGTGGATATGTATATAAATCTGTATATGTGTATATATATATATATATATGGATACTGATGTAAATATGTATATATGTGTGTGAGTATTTGTAAAGTTAGGTAGGTATGTGTATATAGATATCGATTCATGTGCATGGTGTTGCATATACATTTGTATATGTATATGTATATATATATATATATATATATATATATATATATATATATTTACGGAATTATATATGTGATGTATATGGATATATGTATAAGATATAGTTGTATGCATATATATATATATATATATATATATATATGTATGTATATATATATGCGTGTATGTTTGTATAAATAGAGATTTAATGTAAGAAAGAAATTTCTTTATTATCTTCTAATTCTTGTATTTCCTTCTAATCTTACTTCATCTTGAAATAATTTCTAATTAGACTTGAAAAATTTGAAATTTTACTCATCTGGAGATAATTTCAATTTAAATTAATCACTTAGATTTAAATTATAAAAAATATTGCTCTTAACCATTATTCACGATATTAAAGTATTAAAATTAAATACACACACACACACACACACACACACATATATATATATATATATATATATATATATATATATATATATATATATATATATTGAACTTAAACTTTTTAATTCACTAACGTTAATTGTAAAATTAAGAAAAAATTTAAATATGTATAAAGATGTATGTGTGTGGAAATATGTATATGTATATGTAAAAACGTGTACGTATGCGCGTGTATACCGATGTGTATCGTTACATGGGTATGTGGTTTTTATATATACTTGAATATTTATACGAATATATGATTTGATTTGAAACTTAAACTTTAATTAAGAAATATTATTCATCCAAAATGTAACTTCAGATGAAATTGATGAATTAGACTGTAACTAAAATAAAACATTTTACCGGAACCGTAATTCACCATATAAAATATTACTATTAGTAACTTTTTTATTTTTTATTTGTATATTTGTTTATTAATATAATATTCGGTTTACATTAAAATCCCTGAATTGGAGTTGAGAAGTTAAATATTTAAATTGCTATCATGCATTAAATCTAGTTTATATGTGGAGTATTTTAGCATTTAAATTACTATCAAACTTTAAAATCTATTTTTTTTTTTTTAAATTGCCCAAACATCAAGTTATACCATTTTTTCCTTCCTTCAAAACTCTACGTCCATCTCTTTTTTTTCAAATTTTTTTTTTTTCTTTACTTCCATATCATTTCCGGGGAGTTGGCCGATTAAATAGGTCAATGATTGATACCCCCCTCCTCCTCAATATTATATATTGTAATAAAAACGAAAATAAATTTTAAAACTCTCCCTTCCCTCTCTAATTTTGACATGTCTCTCACACTATCCCTCACCGCCCTCTAAGTCATTTTATAAAAGCTTAATACTTTTTTCAAAAGTTTTTTTTTTTATTCATTTTTTTTCCCTTTGAAAATGATGTCTGAAGATCAGAGAAAATAAAATTTTAGTGAAATAAATTATAACGCTTGTGGAAACTTAAATTGATCTGTTTTTTTTTATATATATATATATATATATATATATATATATATATATATATATATATATATTCTGTGTGTCTTTAATGGTTAGCAAGCTTGTCTCGCTAAAAACAGTTCCGACAGAGTACTGAGTTCGTGTCTCACTACTTGCAGCCTTGTGTCATATTTAAGCTATGCTTGTATATATATATATATATATATATATATATATATATATATATATTGCTTGTCCTTTCTTTTTATATATGCATATACGTACAGATAGATAGGAGATAGTGTGTATGAATATCACCATAAATCACGTCAGATAGAGAGTGAGAGAGAAAAAGAAAGGAATATAAAAAGAGATATAAATCGAGTCTAACGTAAAATAACTAAACCAATAAAGAAGACTATATATATATATATATATATATATATATATATATATATATAAATTTTCTTTTATATATACATATATATATAGATAGATAGATAGATAGATAGATAGATAGATAGATAGATAGATAGATAGATAGATAATGTTTCCTCCCTGGAAAATTTTCCAATCAGAAACAGAAAAGAAAAACCATAGCATTTCAGATAATAGATGACGCATATCGTCTTACACTGAAAAATGAAATGCTTCCCCTTTATTTAATATCCTCTTTTTTGTTTGTTTCTATTGATAAAAAACCCTGCCATAATAGACGCTCCCCAGTTTAAGAAAGATATTTTTTTAGACTCGAAATTGATTTGTAGAATATTTAAAAAAAAAAGAAACAATACCATTTGAATAAATATATTCAAGAAAACTCTATATATTCTTTATATAGGTATTTTTATATGCTGCCAATTCCGAAGAATAATATAGATACAAGAATATAATATTTTGGCCAGATGTCCGTTGCGCATTGTGCACGGAAATAAAAAAAAGAAATGATGAAATAAAATAAAAGTAATTTGGATCTAATATTTATTTATATTTATTATTTTATATATATATATATATATATATATATATATATATATATATTAAATAAAAGAAGAGAGAAAATAAAAACGTTTTTGGTTATTACGTGGATTTTTAAATATATATTATACTTTATTTAAATATATTTTTATTTAAACACGTTTCCATCCTTGACCTTCATCAGTAGAAAAAATGGTTATTTATATATATAATTATTAATAGGAAAATAGAATTTCTTTTATATTTTGATATTTAACCATTTATATAAATTTGTATATAGCCATAATATATATATATATATATATATATATATTAAATATATATATATATATATATATATATATATATATATGTAATGTATGTGTATGTATGTGTATGTGTGTATAAATAAAAATATAAAAAAAAGGAAAAATATATATATATATATAATCCAAAGTTATTTAGTATTTTTTTATATATATTTAAAAATATAAAAAAATAAAAATTATGTAAAAAATATAAAATCATATTTATATATAGAATGAAATATATATAAAATTATATTTATTTAAAAAGGGATATATAAAAAAAAAACAATTTGAAAAATAAATAAACTTTGTTTTATTAAAAATTTAATTTTCCAATATTTATAAATCTATATATATATATATATATATATATAAAAATATAATATTTACAAATATATATAAGTTATAAATTTATATATAAATATATAATATATAAATAGGGTCAATTTATTATTCAGATTTTTAATTAAATAAATAACAAAATATAATTTGAAAATAATGTATTAAATGTTATGTAATATATAATTTATATTATAATCATAAAATTTATTGAAATAAATAATCAAAATAAAGCATTAAATGATTTTTAGAAAAAAAAAAAGAAAAAATTTTTAGATTTTTTAAAAAATTATATTTATATACAAAATTTTTTGGAAAAATACATTAAATAATAATAAATGAAATTTAATATATGAAAATTTACAAAACATATATTTAAGATAAAAACAAAATTAAAAAAATCAAATTTGGTGGAGATGTTTAAAATTTAAATATATATAACAAAATTCAAAAAATTTTTATTTTAAAAAAATTTTTTTTAATTAATTTATATATTAAAAAAATATGATAAAAATATTTTCCAAAAAATATAAATTTTAAAATTTTAATAATTAAATAAATAAAAATAAATTTTTAATTTATAGATATTTAAACCAAACCATCTTTTGAAAATATATAAATTTTAAATAAAAAAAATTTTAAATTATAAAAAAAAAATTATTCAAAAAATAATAATATATATATACAACTTTTATAAAAAAAATAAATAATTTTTGAAATATTTTATATATATATTTTAAAATTTCCATTATTTTTATGAAATTTCAGAAAGATTTTCTTATTTAAAATATATATATATGATTTTTAAATATAATATGAATATTTATTTATGAGATCCCTTCAAAATTTTCAACAATTTCATCATATGAAAATAATGTATTTTATTGTTTTGAAAATAAAATTCAAATTGTTGTGACAATATAATGAAATTAATATTCAATTTATTTGTTGTAAGAAATTTTCATTTGAAATTTGAAGTTTAATTTTCATCTTTTTGTTTTTAAAATATAATATAAAAAAATTTTATATTGTCTATATTTTTATATTATAAATAAATTATATAATCATATTTGATTTTTTAAAGAATTAAAATTATAAAAATGAGAAAAACCAGATCATTTTTTATTAAAAATACAAAAAAAAAAATTATATACAAAAAAATAAAATATTTGAATTATATTAAATTTTATTGTAATATATATTTTTCATTTTATGAATAGATATACATGAAAATTTAAATCCATTTTTTAACAAATATAATTTTGGTTTAATTTATATTTTTTATTTTTAAGTCAAATAATTATTGATTAATATATATTAGATTTAAAAAGAAATAAAAAAAAAAAATAAAAATTTTTGAAAAAATAAAAAAAAAAATCGAATCCAAAAAAAAATAGCCATTTCAAAGAAAATTTTAGTTTCACAAATAAAAAATAAATAAAAATTTTAATTTCAAATTTTCTTTATTTTTGATTTCAGTTTTGAAAATAAAATATATAGAGATAAAATTTTCCAATGAAATAATTTGATAAAAATTATATAATTTCAACATAAATTTATATAAATTTTATTCAATTTTTGAAAAAATAAAACAAAAATTTAAAAAAAAAAAAATATCAGGTTATATCTTTAAAAAAAAATCCTCAAATATAAATATAATATATATATATATATATATATATATATATAATATATATATATATATAAATATATATAATAAAATCTATTATAAAAACATTTTACATATATTAGAATTTAAATTTTTTAATTTAATTTTAAATATCATTGAATATCTTTGATAATTTCATTTTAAAATATTAAAAAAAAAAAAATAAAAATTTAGAATTTATGAGTTTATTTTAATTTTTTGAGAATAATAATTCAATAAATTCATTTATATCCAAATTTATAAATAGGGATTATCAATTATATTTTCCTCAATATATTTATCTATATTTTAGGAATATGGCATATTTTGGAAATATGTATATATTTATATATAATTATATAAATTAAATATATATATATATATATATATATATTTATAAAAAATATATATATATAATAAAAATATTAAAAATATTGAATAATATATATATATATATATATAATAATAATATTATATAAATGATAGAATATTTTAGTATTTCATTTTGTTTTAAAAAAAAAATATCATTTATATTTTCATATCATTATATATATAACAAACAAAATAAAAAAAAAAAAATTTTTTGTCACATTTTTCAATTTTTTATATTTTAATTTTTAATTGATAAATATCATTTATTTCATAAACCATCATTTGATATATAATATATAAAAGAAATATATATTTATAGATCAAGATAAATATTTAAAATTAAAATTTGAAAAAAATTTATTGTTTGAAAATAATTTATAAATATGAATAATATATATATTATAATGTAAAAAATATAAAAAATTTTAAAATTTTTTGGAAAATAGTAAATTAATAATAAAGAATATATATATTTAAAAAAAAAATTTATAAATATATATATAAATAAATTGATATTTAATATGAATATTTATAATAAAATTAACATTTAATAAAAATTAAAATTATTTTAAATAATTATTTAAATGATTGAATTAATTTTCAAAAACCTAATTTAATAATTTTTTAATTTAAAAATTAAAAACAAAATCCAAATATATATATATATAAATAAAATATATATATAATAAAATATATATTTTTTTTTAATAATTTTTTTTTATAAAATTTTTTATTAAAATTTATATATACATAAAAAAATTTAAAATGCAAAATTCTGATAAATTTTTATTATTTTTAATGAGTTTAAAAAATTAAATTTAATTTCAAATTTTTTAAAATATTTTAATTAAAAATACATGATAAAAAAATAAATTAATTTTAAAAATAAAATTTATAAATATATATAAAAAATAATAATATAAATTAATTGATTATATATATATTTATTATAAATATATATAACTTTTTCAGAAATAAAATAAAAAATTATTTGAAATTTTAAAAAAAAATTGATTATAAATAATGATCAAAATATAAATTTTTATAATTTAATTTAAAAATAATATTTATTGAATAAAATAAACAGGTTTTTTTATTTATATTTTCGACAAATATTTTACAAATTTTGAAATAAAATTTATAAAAAATATCAATTTTTTTTATAATCACATGAATATATATATATATTTATAGGAATATATATTAACATCTATATAATTTATAAATAAATATATTTTTATTCATATATATCCAATATTTTTAAATATATAGAAAATATATATTTATATATTTATATAAAAATATATATTCCTTTAAAATAAAAATTATTCCGATATTGAGAATATTATATATATAAAAAAAACAAAATTTATATTATATATATATATATAAATTAATTATAAAATAAATAAATTTAATATATATATATATATATATATATATATATATATATATATATATATATATATATATATATATATATATATATATATATATATATTGAACAATAAAAAAAAAAAAAAAAAAATTAAAATCTTCAGACACACTGGGTTGTAGATTAATATTCTTTCGTTTTTTTTATTATTATTTCATTTAGATTCCTCGACTAGTTTCGACCAAAATGGCCATCATCAGGAGAAAAAAATATTTCTGCTTGCTGGTAGCAGTGAACTACAGAAATGAATGTCTTGATGGAGAAAATGAACTTTTGTCTGTAGTTTTCATTTTTTTTTTTTTTTTTTTTTATTTTTTTTAACATGAATCTTTTAACATTCCTTGTGTTGGTCAAACAGTCTCTTTTAAGTTGTTATTTGAGATAAGAGCTGGATGGATCATATTGCTCTGAATTCTCTTTGGTCAGTTTGACAGTTTTATTGTTCCTGGAAAGGGATGTGTCTCTGTTTAGTGTTTGTGTGTGTGTTATTTGGTTCTTAGGGAGTGAGTGAGTATGATATGTGTAAGCGTATATATTGCTGTGGGTGTGTGTTATCATTTGGCTC